AGGCAGGTCGTGGTGTGTTGTTATGGCCACATTTCATGTTAATTTTTTTTTTTTTTTTTATCTCCGATGAAGTTGCTAGCGTTACATAGACAAAGTTCTCCTTAGTGTGTGTGCTGTACTTAATAAGACAATTTTCTGTATGTCTCTTAAGCTGGGGTTTCAGGGATTCTTTCAATGTGTTGTTTTGTTCCATTTTTATAATTCCAAGTGCACCTATTACCACTGGTATTATTCTTGTTTTCAATTTCCATTTTTTTCTGTTTCAATTTCCAGGTCTTTGTATTTTGATAGTTTTTCAAATTCCTTGGTTGCTATGTTACAATCCGCTGGACAAGCCATATCAATTAGTAGGCAAGTTTTTTTTCTTTCTGGTTTTTGACAATGATGTCCGGCCTATTTGCTTCAATTTTTCTGTCTGTGTGGATGGTATAATCCCATAGAATGGTGACATCTTCTATTTCTGTAACCGGCGCTGGCCGATGTTCATTGTTTGCTTACATTTTTCCAAAGTGTTTGCACATTGTCCAGTGTAAGTATTGCCCCACTCTATCGTGACGATTTTTATATTCATTTGGGGCAAGTATAGAACATCCTGAGATTAGATGGTCTATTGTTTCTTGGTATTTGTCACAGAACCTGCATTTTGGATCCACATTATTATGTATGATATTTGCCTGAAAATTCCTAGTGAAAAGATTTGGTCTTGCGCTGCAAGAATAAAGCCTTCAGTTTCAGACTTTAATCCAGATGCTTCGTAACCATCGATGAGTATTAACTTTTTTCAACATTGGGTTTATTTGCACGTTCTGGATATTGGCCATGCAGAGGTTTGTCTTGCCAGCGTTGTTTCATCTGTTCAAGGGCTTTATCCTTGGCTTTCTTTTTCATATCTTTTGCTGCAATAGTTGGTTCTTGGCTTCTGTTTTGATTTACTACAGAATCTACTAAATGTAAATGTTGTTTGTATTTACTGCCTTCTTTTATTATTGAATATTTTTTTTTTTTTCATGTTGTTTCACTAATTTTATCATCCAGTCATTTGTTGTTTCCATGTAAGTTAGTAAGCCAATAGTTGTTGTCTTGTATGACAATTCTAGCTGAATAAGACCTCTTCCACCTTCTTTACGGGGTATGTTCTACATCAGCCTTTGGATGCATCTTATACTTAGAAAGAAGCTTTCTTGTTTTAGAATCCATTTGTTTCATTTAGAGTCCAGTTCAAGATGTTGAAACTATATTGGACCACTGGGATGGCAAGGTTATTAATGCCATAATTCTGTTCTGAGAATTCAATTCAGTTTTTAATACCAGTCGTACCCTTCTATAGTACTCTTTACGCACTATTTCTTTTATTTTTCTTATGGTGAATTCCTTCACTTCATTTACACCTAGGTACTTATAAGCTTCTCCTTGTTCTAAATCTTTTATTGTTACAGCAGGGTCTAAACTAATAGAGGAAGTTTGTTGTAGCGATCCTCGTAAAACTGTAGCTTTAGCACATTTATCCAAATTGAATTTCATTCCAATGTCTTCACTGAAGCATTTTACAGTTTGCAGAAGACCTTCCAGCTCATTGTCATTCCTAGCATATTTTTTAAGTCATCCATGTAAAAATAGATTTTATTTTCTTTTTGAGCTATTTTGTAACCGCATTCTGTCTTGTTAAGTTGGCTGGTTAATGCTATAAGTGATATGCAAAATAATAAAGGAGACAAAGAGTCACCTTGAAATATTCCTTATTGATGTTTATTTCGCCAGACTTATAGGTTCCATTTTTATGATTGAAGTAAAGTGTAGTTTTCCATATCGACATACATTGTTTGATGAAATTGATGATAACGGTGATACCTTGTACATTAAAGACTTTAAGATCCAGAATGTGGTACACTATCGAATGCTTTATAATCTATCCAGGCAATACTAAGATTTTTTTTTTTCCACGGAAGCAGTTTTCAGGATCATCCTATTAATAAGTAATTGGTCTTTACATCCGCACCCTTTTTGTTCAAGTGGTTTGTCATTTTTTCAAGAAGAAATATGTCTGTTTTGTTAAAATAGATGTTAACAGTTTTGAAAAGACATCTATAGTTTTTCGGAATATTTGTGTCACTATTTTGGGTAGAAGAAAGGTTTTTGGTCATCCATGCAGGAATTTTATTGGATCGGTAACCATTTCTTGAAGTTCTTTGGCGAGTTTTTTGTGTGCTGTATTTAAATTTTAGGAATTTTATCTATTCCTGGATTTCCAGTTTATGCTTTTTCAGTGCATTTAACATCTTCTTCTGTGATTCCCGCCCATGTCTGTTCTGGTTTATTTTTCATTCGTTCTAACTCTTGCGCAATCCAGTCTGCCTTCTTTAGGCGCTTCCATATTTTCCCAGAACTGTATAACTTCTTCCATTTTAGGGGGGACTGTCAATTTTTTGTTTACCTATTTCCTGTAAATTTCTTTTTTGCATCGGTTTGAAAAGATCTTGTTCTGTCTATAGAATCTTGATCTTTTTCGTATTTATTCTTTGAGCCTTCAGTTGTGTATTGTTTTTTTATTTTTTCTTTAGTTGATAGGACTTCATTTTCATTCCTGATATTGTATTTTCTTTCGACTCTTCTGCCTTTTCTAGTTCTTACATTTACTCCTCTTGCCTTCGATAATTCACTTCTAAGGTGTTCAATTTCTTTTTTATTTTCTTTCCAAGGTGGGTCTTCATGTCTGTGAGATGCCTTTTTTTTTTTTGATGTTCAGTTTATTTGTTGCTTATTGCTGATTTTTGCTTCATTGAGATTTATATGAGTTTTCTTCATCCAGAATCAATTTGATTATTATAGAGCTTAATAGTTTTGAGGTTTGTTTGTTGGTTGTAATTTTGGGAGTTGTTCTCGTTCCTCCATTGCAATATTCTGTATCTGATTGATTTCATCCTTGGCTTCTTGTATATTAATCTTGTTTTTCTGTGAAATAATTCTGTTCGATGAATTTTGAACTCGTTTTATTACTGTCTTGTGACTGACTAAGATCATACCTTTTCCAACATTTCTAAATTTTTCAGCATTATCTTCACAGTTTTGTGTGTATTTCGGTTTTTTTTCATTATGACCTTGTTTATTACTTTTTTCCCGATTCAGATCTATTCTTATTATTATTATTATTATTATTATTATTATTATTATTATTATTCCTTTGGTTTCTGGTGTGTACTATTTCTTTCCGGATTGCGTCCAGAGACCTTAGGTTAGAAATGGCACCATGACATTTTCAAATGAGCAGTTTTTAAAAATAATCACGCATATTTTTCATAGATAAAGTTCAACTACAACTGAAATTATTGATCTCCATATGCGCCACATTTCTGAGATTTCGATTTCAAGGTCCTTGTATTTTGATTGCTTTTTAAAGATCTTCAACGATATGTTACAGTCTCCAGGGACTGCCCTATCAATAAGGAGGTTGTTTTTTTCTTTTTGGTTTACGGTCTTTAATAACAATGTCTGGGTGGTTGGCTTTGATTGTTCTCTCAGTGTGTATCCCATAAAATTGTAACAGGTCCTATCTCAGTAACCTGGTCTGGGTGGTGTTCATACCAATTTCTTTCTTTTTCCTTCCCATGGAAGCTACAGATTTTCCAGTGTTAATATTGGCCCACTCCTGTGTTTTATATTCAGAGGGTACCAATACCGTGCAAGCTGATACAAAATGATCAATTGTTTCTGGATATTTATCACATAATTGTTGTTATTATTATTATTATTTCCATTGATTTCTCTTGTCTCCTCCTTTCCGGATCCCATGCAGAGACCTGTCATCAGAAATGGCAAGGTAGTAAATTGAAATGGTAACATTAGTCGTTTCCCTACAAGGAAACATTCAGAATTCTTTGACTGAGAACTGCTGTCTTTTGAAATTTATAAAATCATTTATAAAAATATTTTTTCAAGGAAATATATTTCTCAAGTCCACTATCTGTTATCGCTCTTTCCAGTATTGATGGGGGAGTTTCCTTCCTAACCTTTTGTTTGATGTAGTGTGGATTACGAACATCTTGATTATGTCATGATTTTCTGTTCGAGTTACTTTTAGTTGCTGTTGATAGTCAAGTGATGTGGCTTCTGCTATTTGATGCATTTCATTGTTTGTGAATCTGTAGCCCAAGTCCACAAGGTTCAAAGCCATTCACTCGATCAAAGCCATTTTTAACCATTGATCTTAGTGGTTGTATATGTCTGACAGTTTAGATCAGTGTTTCTAAAACATTTCAGGAAAGAAAACTCTAAGAGAGCTAGTAAATTAGCTTTGAAAGAGGCACGCAGCGTTTAATGTTTATATGATTCCTCGATATCGAGAGCGTGCCCGCATCAACTTTAGTAACGAAGAAGGTTTTGGTTGGTGAATTAAAAAAATCTGTGTTAAAATCGTGTTTCAGTTTGAGTTCTGCAGAGTTGAGATGTTTTGTTTTGTTTTTTTTTTTCTTTGAAACCTTTTGTTAATGCATTAGTTTATTCGGAAAATAATGTCCGATTTTAGTATCACCTTTTATTCCTGAATTAATGTATTTTAAGTGTTTATATCAGTTAAAATAGTAAACAAGTATACATTTCTGCCATCGAGTTACAAGTTTATTTAAGCCTTTGCGATAAAAATCTAAAGGTTTCGACACAAAGATTGCCGTTTCTGCATCTTCATTGGGACGGAATGTCTTCTAGCTTGAAAATCTTGTCAAAATGCTCGAAAATGTGGGTTCTTACGGACGAGAGACCAGGAAAAAATGGCGGATGTAACAAATCTTGTATCGCAAGGCTGTGGGTTTTTTGCTACTTTTTAAGCGCTTTTCACTCGTTTTTAAAACTTTTCAATAAGTGTTTTTGCCTTATTGAGTATAAGTTTTTTGTGGGTTTGTTTCTGTGTTAAAGTATTTTTTCCTAAAAAGATAAGCCTTTTTGTAAAAATTATGCCTGCCACAGATGAAAGAGAAGAATAGATTTGGGAGTGAAGGAAAAAGAATAAATTATATAAAATTATGGAAAGAAAGAAAGAAAGAAAGAAAGAAAGAAAGAAAGAAAGAAAGAACGAAGAGGATAGCAACGAAAGAAATGAGGAAAGAAGGGTAGCAAAGAAAAAAGATAGCAAAGAAAGAAAGAAGAATAGCAACGAAACAAAGAAAAGAAAAAGGATAGCAATGAATATATATATCAAAACAAATGGACAAGAAAGAAGTTAAAAAATAAAGAAAGAACGAAGAGGATAGCAACGAAAGAAAGAAGGAAAAAAGGGTAACAAAGAAAAAGGGATAGCAAAGGAAAAAGATAGCAAAGAAAGAAATAAAGAAAAAAAGAAAGAGAGAAAGAAAGAAAGAGAGAGAGAGAAAGAAAGAAAGAAAGAGAGAAAGAAAGAATAATAGCAAAGAAAAAAGATAGCAAAGTAAGAAAAAAGGGTAACAACAAAAAAGGATAAGAAAGAAAGAAAGAAAGAATAACAGAAAGAAGGATAGCAAAGAAAAAAAAAGAAAGAAAGAAAGAAAGAAAGAAAGAAAGAAAGAAAGAAAAAAAGAAGGATAGCAAATAAATAAAGAAAGAAAGGAACAAACAAACAAACAAAGAAAAGAAAAAGGATAGGAATGAATATATAGCAAAGCAAATGCACAGGAAATGTTAAAAAAAGAAAGAAAGAATAACGAAAGAAAGAAAGAAGAAAAAGATAGTAAACAAAAATGGATTTTTAATAAAGAAAGAAAGTGCAAGAATAAAAAGAGAATAAGTAAAGAAGAAAAGAAAAGAGAAAAGAAGTTAGCTAAAAAGTAAAAAAGAAATATCTTAACTGGATGAGAGAATGAATGTTTTTAACGACACATGATTGTCATATATACGTCTCTAGAATACCGTATTGTATAACTTCATTCTGGGAGGACATCTCTCAAGTTACATAATACATACCTAATAAACATCTGATCTACAAGCAATGGCTCCAGAGATTGTTGAGCTTTTTGTTGACATTAGAGAACAGGCAATCTTGCAAATGGTATTTACTTCAAATCAAAACAAAAGTTGAATCGTTATTTTCGCCCAAGCAAGGTCGGAGTGCCACTAGCACTCAGGGGCTTACAGTGAAGTAAAAAGAGTGGTGTTTGAGGAAAGGATATACAGAACGGCGAGAATCAGGATCAAGGCATCAGAAGATGTCGATTGACATTACATTTGAATATTTGAAGAGTTTAGCTATCAGGGAAGCAAGTAATAGGAAGGGAATTTCGCTGTCGGGAAGTGCAAGAGAAGAAGCTGTTTGAGTAGAAGAGGCGGTTACACTTAACCGTTTCGACAGTGAAAAAGTAGGACCGAGATGCCAACCTAGTAGCACGCGTAAATTCATGCAGTCGAGGCACCAGTGAAAGTAGCTCGTCAGAGCAGTTGCTATGCAAATATTTTTAGAAAAGACAGAGGGAAGCCACATCACGTCTGCGAGAAAGTGACTGGAGTCGAGATGACAAGTCAGGAAGATATTTTTAATCTGCAAGTATGCATCCAAGCATATCTGATTAAAAAGGACCGACAAGGTCTGTTTGTTTAATTTTTTTTATAGTATTAGGGCGACGTCGTGTGAAACGGTTACTGAGAACAAGGCCGCAGCAAAAACGAATATCAGTTGCTGATACCTCCTGACGAGTGGACAGAACAATTACAAAATTTTTTGTGTAAGAAACTCTAGAGTCAAGTTGAATACGACATGCACAAATTTTACTTACATTAATCATACACGCACGCATGCACACGCACACACATACACACACACTTCCTCACACACACACTGATGAGCTGTGATACAGCGAAACAGTCTGTGTGTGGACGACAATTTATATGCTCCTGAAAATTTTTATTTCGGTTAAACTCTCTGGAGAAGGAAATGTGAGTTTGTAAACAGTGACTATTACGGATGATAATGCAAGACTCTTCAGTACAGTAACTAGAGTCCTCTCGGTCACTGTGTGTTTACCTAAAAATAAATACGCTTAAAAATTCACCTTCTTCCTGTCATGCGCCTACGGCTTAGGGATAAAATTTTCGACTGACGCCAATTCAGCCGGTTTCAGCTGGAAGGAAAAATTGTTAGAGATGTCTCGAAAAATCTTCATTTAACGACAAAGGATATTGTCAATGATGTAAAGTCATCGGAAAGAAAATTTGAGGACAACAGTCTGAACAATGTAAATAGTTACAATACCACATTTCTGAAATATAGACAGATCCTGACGAAGGTTTGATCGTACAACGGCCGAAACGTCGTAAATAGGAAAGTGAAGGTGAAGACAACCGTCCGAACAATCTAAATAGTTACCACACCACATTTCTGAAATATAGAGAGATCCTGACGAAGGTTTGATAGTACAACAGTCCGAAAATAGTCGTTTCTGAATAGGAAATCCTGACGAAGGTTTGATCGTACGGTGAAATAGGACAGGAATTTGAGGACAACAGTCCGAACAATGTAAATAGTTACAATACCACATTTCTGAAATATAGACAGCTCCTGACGAAGGTTTGATCGTACGATGGCCGAAACGTCGTAAATAAGAAAGTGAAGATGAGGACAACAGTCTGAACAATGTAAATAATGTAAATAATTACAACTTGATTTTTAATTATGGAAATTGGCTGAATAATTCCGTCCATACCTATACAAGATACGGCCCTGGTGTCATAAACAATGTGTTTCAATTCCGAAGAACAAAGTACATCGTTTTCTTTCAAATTAATCCCCTTCGAGTCTAATGCACTTTTCCATCTTTCCCTGCCACGTTTCTATGCACTGCTGGAACACTTGTTCTCGGATGCTCCTCAGCTCCGTCGTTACGGCCTCTTCTTAGCCTCCATCCCCCTTGATGGTCCACATGAGCTTGGGGAAAAGACAAATGTTACACGGAGGAAGATCAGGTGAATAGGGAGGTTGTTCCAGTACGGCAATTTTCTTCTCGGAAGAGATACTGACGGATGTTCAAGGCGTTGTGAACAGTTGCATTATTGTGGCGAAGCAGCCAAGATTTTTCCTGCCACAACACTCGTCTCTTCTCGCGCACTGAGCAAAGCAAATGCAGCCGTATAACTTTGCAGACTTACTGAGGGGTCGTCTGTCCCTAGGGCAAGAACTCCAGGTGGACGATGCCCAGGCCTCACACTGCACACCAATGTCATTACTTTTCAGAAAGAACTCGTATCTTGGAGGAGAGTAGAGATAGTTTTGTACTTTTACGAATGGTATATTTGTGAATGGGAACGCAAAGACCACAGACCAGAATTGAACCCAGACACGCTTATCTTCTATTCCACGCCGATAACCTCTACGCGAAAGCGATCCTAAACTATAAAATCGTTGTGCAGTTCTTGCATTTTGCAGCATTTATCTACATTGCCTGCATTCCTTGTGACTAACCCGTGAGGATTAATGACTACAGATTGAAAAACAAATTACGATTCCAGAAATCCTACCCGCAAGGTGGCCGCTCACAGCATTTCGTTTAATGCTTTTTCCTCTTCAAATTAATCCCCTTCGAATCTAATGCACTTTTGCATCCTTCTTTGCCAAGCTTCTATTCACTGCTGGAACGATACTTCTCGGATGCCTCTCAACTCCGTCGTTACCGGCCTCTTCATAGGCCTCCACGCCCCTTGAGGATCCACTTGAGCTTGGGGAAAAGACACGGAGCAAGATCAAGTAAATAGGGAGGTTGTTCCAGTACGGCAAGATTCTGGAAATGCCGGATGCTTAGTGCGTTGTGATCAAGTGTATTGTGAGCCGATGTATAGTGAGCAGGTGTATTGTCGTGTTAAAGCAGCCACGATTTGTCTTTTTAAAAAAAAGCATATATAAAAATAAATGCAATGGTTGCATAAAGCTAAGATGACAGTTACTCCCAAGATGTTAAATGATAACACAATCAACTTATCCCTCTTTCACCCAGAGCTCACATCACATTAGTTCCGTTACCCTTCAGACAGAACTCATCGGTGGAGTAATGGATAGCGGCTCGGATTTAGAAATCGGAGAGCCAAGTTTGAATTCCAGTCGAATCCATTACATTCACTTCACTTGGGAAAGGTGTGAATCATCTTCTTCTCCATCGCATACCCATTATGGGTAAATAGCAGGACAGACTGGCTTCTATAGTCTTGGATGGCAACTGGTTTAGGAGAAGGACAACTCTGAATTAAAATGAATGCGAAGTGTCGTTTGGGGACCTTGTGCCACGTAGTGCACCAGGTCACTGTATTTGGTCCTTCCAAAAGTGTGGTTGGTTCTGCACAAAACCTTCGCCCATATAATCAAATCAAATGTGCTGGTGTCTGGCTATCGGTTCCTAGGAACCGAACCGTTTGATGTTAGAGTCCATTAAATATATATATATATATATATATATATATATATATATATATATATATATATATATGGGGAAACTATTCAGCAAAGTCAGTCATGAATACGTGTACTGTTATTGTATCAATCATTTTAACCACCAATTCTTTACCATTTTCGCAGACAATGGATATAATATATCAAGACAAAAGGACAAGGAAGATATAATTATAGGAGATGGACGATATTGTAAAAGTGTGAATTTGTCAATTAGATTTATTTTTTCTGAGTTTTCACTTCACACCTATTTTTAATCGGCTGTTTTCTCTGTCGTCTCGGAAGAAAAAAAGTCGATTTAAGGATTGGTTTACTGACATTGTGTTCTTTGAAGGCACTTTCATCATTTTTTTTTTTTTAAATGACAAAGAAAATTGTTGGACAGAGATGTAATATCTAAAGTTGGGGTGAATACTGGACAATTTTCTTACATATAAAAAATGGACTTCAAGCTAAAAGCAAAGTAATAAAGCCACTAAGACGCAAAGGGTTACTGAGTATTAGAAAATATGAGAAAACAACATTACGAAGGAAAGACTACAATAAAAGAAGAAGAATTGAGAAGACAGAAGATAACGATTGATATTGCAGTTAAATATTTGAAGATCAAAGGCAATAAAGCCACTAAGAAGCAAGGAGTTACTGAGTGTTAGAAAAAATGAGAAAAACTACTATTAAGGAGAGAGGACAATAAAAGAACAAGAATTAAAAAGACAGAAGATAACAATTGATATTGCATTTAAATTTTGGAAGATCAAAGGCAATAAAGCCACTAGGACGCAAGAGGTTACAGAGCGTTAGAAAATACGAGAAAAATACTATTAAGGAGAGAGGACAATAAAAGAACAAGAATTAAGAAGACAGAATATAACGATTGACATTGCATTTAAATTTTGGAAGAACAGAGTTGATTGGAAAGTAAGAAGCCGGAAGACATTTCCACAAGCGAGAAGTGCGATAGAAAAAACTGTGAGCTTGGAACTAACGTTTGATTGAGGCCATTTCTACTGGCAATCTCGTACGGCGCTTAAATTCATAAAAAAAAATTATCATAACAATTACTATGAAAATATTTATAGAAAAGTCACAAAGAAGCTACGTTATGGTGGTGGGAAAGTCAATGAAGCCGAGATGCCAAGTCAGGCCCATTAATATTGCAAACTCACCTTTGCATATTAGCAAGAACTCTAAACATAAAAAGACCAAAACAGATATGGCAATAATATTCCCTACATGAACGAATGGTAGATTTATAAATATGTAAGATAGATTCTGGCTCGACACAGCAGCATTTAATTCAATATAATATTTCCACTTCATATCAGCGGAAAATGTTAGTCCGAGGAGGCACAAGGAGTCGCTCTATTGGAGGTTAGCATCAGCCAGGCTGA